TGTTTTCTATAATTTTTTTTATTTACATAGTATTTACACAAACTTTTTTTTATAAAATCAACTTATGTAACGTTAAAATTTATCCATTTACCTGAATTTTTGTTTAGGTTGATATAAACCTAAAATAATATTTATAAAATAAATAAGTATTTTCATTTCATGCTCTTAATGGAATAAAAATATTAATGTTTATATTTTCATTAGGAACTTTTAGATGCTGAATATCATCTGAAATTAGAAGAAAATAAAAGGATAGCTGAAGAAATAACAGCCAAAAAGAGAGCAAAGAGACAGAAAAAGAAGCAAAAGTGGAAGGAAAAGAAGAAATTGAAATTAGTAAATAACCAATCAAATAAAACTGAAGACAGCAATTCAGACGATAATAGTACAGATAAGGAAGACGAGGATGAAGAAAATGATAACGAATCTAAAGTTGTAGTCAATGATGAAATTAAAGATAATACGATTGTAGAATACACATTAGAGACAAACATTAATAAAAATGTAGATCGGGACAAGGTAAATCAAAAGGAATTGCAATTACAGAGTATTACTAATGCAAAAAATTATAAATCTGAAATTGAACATGCTAATGATGTATCAACCTTTGAATGTAAAATATCTGAAAATAACAGTGAGAATCGTATACTTGATAGTATAAATCTTTAACAGAGAATTGTGTAAGAATTAAAAGCACTTAATGTGAAGTGGTCGTTTAAAGCTGTATTTACATTTAATTGTGATTATTTCTGCTAAAATAATGAACAGTGCTATTTTTTTATAAATATGATTACAAAAATCACTAAGAATTGTTAATTTTTTTACACATATCAGTGAAATATGACTTCCAAATAAATAATTTAAAGTTTTTAATTCAAATTTTAAAAAGCTTTAAACAATGAATATATAATGTAAAACAAGGATATAAATGTAAAAAGATGTTTTCATGATATTACATATAATTTAAGTGTTTGTTATATATACCTTCGTTAAATATTTGTGTACATTCTCCAGTTAGATAATTGAATTTATATTCTACTTGAGTATAGAATGTATACAATGATTTTTCTTTTTTTGATAGTTGTACATCATAATACTAAAAGAGTGGCATCTAAATTGTCATATCGTTTAGTTCTTTCAAAAATGTTTGCCAAATTGTGAGCAATTTTCCGATCTTCGAATAAAGGAGCACTCTTCACATATTTCTCCAGTTGAGATTTTGCTTTTATTAAGTCTCCAATTTTCTCGGGCACAATTGTTTCCTAAAACAAGCATTAGAAATAATAACATTATTTAAAATAGTTTTTAATATTAAATTAATGGTTAATGGTTAATTATAAGTAGCAAATCATTGTACCTGAAATTGTTTCATATAATCAGAAATCACATCTACATGGTCACCAATCTCTGACCAAAGAGTTTGTAAATCTGACACATCAGTACAAGCAGCAACATGACTAAGGGTAAGGCACAACTAAACAAATTATAATAATAAGTATGTACAATAGTATTATATTATTCTATGTATAGTAGTAAGTTTAAGTACTTGTTGTACAAGAGCGTCACGATGAGGATATTCAATGTAACTTGGTACATGTTGAGAATTTTCAAATGCTACGATAATGCTCTTCCATAAAATTACAGTGTACTTCTCATAAGAATTACAAGCACGTAGTGCCCATGCTGCATTAGAACGGACTTTAAAGTTTGGACTGTAGCATATTAAATTACATAATGCAGGAAATATTAAATCCTATTGGAATAAAATTATATTATAAATTGGAAAAAGAAATAGTTGATGAATGTTCATTTCATTAATTACATACCCGCCAAGAAGATGGTAATATTTCGTCTGGATTGTTACTTAAAACTAATCCCAGAGCACGGCAAGCATTCCAGCGTACCTTCAACATTCAATAAATCAAAATGTATTAAATTATATGGCTATTGTATTATTTATTACAATTTATTGAAAATTCAATACATTGAATGTACACTAAATAATTAAAATTATTAACATCTAATATTCTTATTTACTTTCATATCATGACCTGAAATTGCACAATTTATAAGGGCCTCTAATCCTGATAATGTATCATTCAGTATATGTTTGCTGGGACATAAATGCAAAATACTTCCAAGAGCTCGAACAGCATTACATTTTACTTTATCACTGTCCTTGGATGCTTTAATACTGACATGATATAATTTTGGTAATAAAATTTCCAAAGGAAGAGGTTCTATTTCATCGTTTCTGCAAACAAAGTTGTGTAAATACTTAAAAAATTTTGTATCATTTAATATTACTCAAGTAAGTTAGCTTTTTAACTTGCTTTTGGGCAAGTGGTGAATGTAATTAAAAATAGTAAATTAATAATTAGTATATCTAATTTTCAGTAGTTAAATATTAGGTATACTTATGACTTACTTTTCTTTGGAAAAGCAATTGCATAAATTAGCTAGTGCCCAAGCTCCTTTTATGCGAACACCAAGATTATTATCATCGGCAGTTAAACAAATTATATCGGCTAAATCCATTAAAAATCCCGTTTCTTCTTCCAGTGGAGGTAATGTGACCAACATTCCTAATGCTCTTAACGCCGCAGCTCTTACCGCACTTTCTTCGTCATGAACTGCACCAAATAGTACTGTGATGATTAATACAGTTTTTTGCCTCTAAAATATTTTAACAAAAAAATATTTAAATATCATTTTTCACGTAATTCTAATTTGTATATACAAATATTTACCGAAAATTGTGTAAACACAATTGGACTAATGCTACCTAAACAATCACAAGCTGCTTCCCTTAATATTGTTTGCGAATGTTGAAGTATTAATGTGACAGGTTCAAATATAATATTCCAGAACAGTAAGGCATTATTATTTTCTGAATCATTGTTTGCAAGACATTCAGCCATAATTTCTAAAGCACGACAAGCATGTAGTATTACTTGTATTTCAGAATCTTGTAAAACTGTAGCTAAATTTGCTGTAACTAATTCTGTATGTGAAAACACAAGCTTTCTAGTACTAAATGCCATTCTACCTAGTAGTTTCAAAGATTGAAGACGAACAGGAGTGCTCATAATCTGTAATCAAATATTCATTATTCATGTTTCAAAATTATATACTTCTTTATTATATATATTTAGTAACTTTAAACGTAATTATACCTTGTTTGAAATGTTCTCTAAACAAATATGAATTAGAAAACATACATTTGTTTCTGTCAATAATTTGTTGTCGTATTCAGCAGTTATATTATTTTTCAAATCTTCGATATCCACTTCTTCTTCTTCTCCTCCTGTATTATCACTGAACGAAGTATTCAAATGCATTTGTTCTGATTCTATGTTTAATCCTGATTGCTTTGCAAGTATATTAAATATTTCAGGCGTTATTGGATCGCAAGAAGCAATAGCTTCAAAAGTTGATAGAGCTGCAACACGAATTGTTGGATCTAAAAAAATATAAACAATTTAATGATTACTTTATTATATAATAAGGGTAATATATATATCAACAGTATAATAACGAAAAAACATCATAGCAGAAAAGTACCTTTATGAAAAATATATGGTCTACAGTTACTCATTAATTTTGTGGCGAGTCCTGTCTTTAAACGTGCATAAGGTGTACCTTGAATTAGGGCAGCAGTACATTTTAAAGCATGAGTTAAAACAGCTATATTTTTGTCACTGTTCAATATCAAGGACAATGTGAAATGTAATTCTTTTATCATTAAACACACTATACCAAAAAAAGTTATAAAAGATGTATGATCTGTATCTTCTGCATGTATTAAAAATAATTTAGCATCAATAAGTAATTCAGTGAGAGTGCTCAGCATGCTTTGTTTCACTTTTGATACTGGTTCTTTTAAAATACATCTGGTTAGTACTCTTGCATCGTTTTGAGATCCAGTGGCAACAATTTGTGGCCAAAATCCAAATATTTCACGGCTTTGTGAGTTCTCGATAAGTACTTGCAATAAGTGTATAGCTTCTAGTCTAACTTTAGAATCTACATAGACAAAATTATTACTTTCTGTATCTGAAGTATCAGAATCACTAGAATGCATACTCATATTTTTGCATTCTGGTGTGATATTATTCTTTAGTTCCAGATTGGTTTTCCTAGAAGGTTGCTTCTTTGTCTTTGTTTTATGATTTTTAAGATTTTTACATTTAGGAATTACATGAATCCTTTCAGGAAGATTCATGGATGCTGGACGCAGAAGCTCTGGTTGAACAGCTGGATATTCTTCAATACCATAAAATAAAAATACTTGTACCACACCCAAAACTTCACCCATAAGGTCTACGGAATGTGGTAATAGTTTATTTACTATTATAATATGAAGTATATACAAACATAACTTTAAAACCTAAAAATTTAATATAATTAAATTTAATAATCAATGAAATATAAAATTTTTATCTTAAATTAAATACTTACTTTGGCATTAAAAAGTTTATTATCATTCAAATGTAAATAAGATGAGAGAATATTTAATACAATATTCTTAATAATAGATACAAATTCTTGACTAATGAGACTCCTATTATCGCTGTTTATTAAAATTCCTTCTAAGCACCCAAGTGCATGATAATGTGTTTCAGACCACTGTAACTTGGATGGACTTAAATATCTTTTTAATAATCTATCATTTTCCAATAATAATTGCAAATACTATAAATATAAATTATTTTACATGTGATACAATTGAAATTTCTGAAGTCACCATAATATAAAATAATATATTACTTAATAAAAAAGGTGATTCTTACACGATTAATATCATTAAATCCCATGTTAATTAAAATACATTTTAAAGCATTAAGGATATCTCTATGCGTAATTGGTAAAGCTGATTCCAATACTTCTAAAATCCATTGTTTAACGCTTGCAAATGTCTGACACTGAAGTTTTATATTATTTTGGATTAAATTGACTAAAAGTTTACATATATTTTGTATCAAATCTGTTTCCACAGGTGTAGCAATTATACATAATTCTTTAATCAATAATTGTAGTATCTAAAACAATGAAATGAAGTAAAACGATTATGTACTTTAAACAATTTATTCGAAAGATTATGGATAAATTGATTATAATAAATAAAATAATACAGTGTAGGTTATATCAACAAATATTATAAATGCGTAAAATAATTAATACAATCAAAATGTATTTTAAATTCACTTACATCATTATTAACATTAGTAATAAATCGGTAATCAAGCCTATTTAGATCACAAAGATAATTGTTGATTAACTTTGTTTCATTATGTTTTCCATTTGTTAGTAGGAGTAATTTTTCTATAATAAAATCGAATCTAATTGTAGAATTTAAATAATCAATATGTGTTGACGCCATTTTTCATAGAAATATTTTTCAAAAGAAATTATAAAAGTATATTAACAAAAAGTTAACAGCATTATTAAAAAAATACGAAATCACTGCAGAAATACATATATACAATAATTAAATGCTATAGAACAGAGAAGTTGAACTGCTAGTGACGTGCTCCTTTCATGCTAGTGTGATTCGCGATCAATAGTTCCCCTATGATTATGTAAGATGAAGAGGTTAACTCTCCGTGAGGGGAATGTCACTATGAAATTCGCGAGCTTCCAGTTCGATACTCCCTGATTTAGTACTGTCTAAATTAAGAGACTTCAAGCCGCTATCACGGAAAATTATTTTAAATAGGAAACTTTAATGTAAGAGTGCTAAATCGGTGTCCGCGGGCATTCTAGTGACACTCTCCTCACAAAAAGTTACTCTCTCCATACCTATATCCTATTTACTTACCTTTTACCTGCGTTTGATCACTACATATAGTTCGTTCCCATACACACAGTCTCAGACAACTCCTAGGGTAAAGGCTGTACGGGAACTGCTTTTCGGGAGCCACTAGCTTGAGGAGAAGTAGTTCGACACTCCTGTTCTCTAATTCAGGGTCATCCAATTTAGGGACAGGAATATCATAGGTTTTAATACCAGTTTTATTTCTATAAACTACTCTGTGGTGAAGTCTGGGAATATTTAAAAAATTTGGTAATTTTCGCGTAATACTATTGGCTACTGCTCCTTCCGTCAAATGCGGAAAAGATGCAGTCGCCATTTTGCATTATCGGTTTTTATGTGTGTGTGTGTGTGTATGGTGCAGCTAGTTGCCACTTCAATTCATATTACGTAGTTGTAAAACATTATTAATTGGCATATTTTTGCTGATTTTAAATTGTTAAGACTCGTCAAAAAAGAATGGGACGCAAAAAGAAGAAGCAATCAAGGCCCTGGTGTTGGTATCCTTTTCTAAAACACCCTTCGTTAGGGGATACTTTACGTAACTGTATTTTTAGAACATAAATCATAGTCATTATTTCTGTTATTTTATAATGATTTGATTAAATATATCTCAATACCTTATTAAATTTTATGTTGTGCCTATTATTGTATTTTTTGTTAGTTGAAAATTGTTATTATTTTATAGGATATTTGTTTAACCATAAGAAATGTATTGAATTAATTACAATTACTGATTCTTTGAGAAATCAATATTCCGTTAGTAACTATACTTAACTGCAATTTTTATCCTGTTATAAGAGAATTTCATATACAAATTATAATTGTTTAATCTGATTACCTATGATTTCATAATACATGTTTTTGTAAATACTTCAAGATTTCTTATGATAGCTTATTAACATTATTTAATCAAGTGTTGAAGTACTAAATTATTCATATTATTGT